CTGAGCGCTGCCCCGCAGTAGTTGAGAAGCCATCTCATCTTGGCAGTCGTAACCTTATTTGTTCAACCCAGCTAAGCCGACCCGTTTTTAATCCCTCCAAACATCTGGATTCATCATCCATCACTGGGGTATCTACTACAGCTTCATGATACGGCCAAAGCTATGCATAGGAGCGGCGATAAACCAGCCATGATACGTGCTTACCAACGCCCTTGGTGAGCGGGTGTAAGGCAGGAAGGCAGAGTAGCCGGTGCCCTTTGCGGGAGGGCGGCTGACGGACCGAGCACCGCGGCTGCCTTCGTTTTCGCTGTCTCTTCCAGATAACTCCCTCGCTCTGTTTGCTGCCGGCGCCCCAAAGCGTTGTCCCGCTTTGCCTGGTTCCCCTGGTACTTCCGTTGCTTATCTCACGAAGATCTGTGTTAACATTTATCAAAACAAATGGCAAGCCTGGGACCTTTTAAGTAGTTTTTTTAGTTAATAAAACCAATCTTCTACTTCTGTTATGTTAAAAGTACATTATCTTTTTATTACAAACTCTCTGCAGCTCTGTCTGTTTTCCTTCTTGGCAATTTCATGACTGCTCCGGTTGATTGCTGTATGGAGAATTACAAAATCATTAAGGGTGGGGTTTTACCAGCTGACTTACAGTACAAGCCATTTCTCAAAATAACCACAACAGTGCAAGACTGATGTGTAATTTACGTCACAGTATGTTTTTATGAAATAGTTTGTGGCTTATTCATTTAGATTTAGAACTGAATATCTCTTCTCTCGCTTTTTAATCAAGCTTTCTTCTTTCTTTTTTTCTCAGGGTTGGTTTTTTTTTTTTTTTAAACTTTTTAATATTTTCCACTCCTAGGCTTGGCTTGCCTCCAATTTAACAGCTACAGCGAGGGGAAAGAGAAAAAACGGATCTTTTTTTTTCTTCTTTCCCCTGCAGTTTAACCGCGAGTGTGTTTTCCTCTTTGATGTATACATTTGTGTTAACTGCCTTGGAAGAGATTTTTAGATGTGTGGCAGAATGCGTTGCAGAACGGTAGAGCAGAGAATTGAGGAAATTGAGGCACAAGTTTGGGATTTGAAGCCCTCTTAGCCGTGTGACGCTATTTAGTCTCCTGCTCTAGTACGTTTCCTTTTTAAAAACGACTTTCTGTATAATGTCTTGTAATTAGAACAGGAAATCATTGAGTAACTGTAAGAAGAATAAGAGCACTTAAACTGAAAAGAAAATTACCTTCCGAGAAATTGTATTCACAATTTTTTTTTTTCTTAAATTTTTTTTTTTTCCCCACATTGCCGTGTTGGCAGTGATAATAACAGATGTACGTACTCTTATCTGCATCATTGTTGTGCTTCTGTTTTCTGGAAGAAAATCATTTTCAGTAATACAAAAAATGAATGGAGGGAAAATGGGAAATGCCTAATTGCAAAAAATATTCTGTGTCACAACAGAGTAGCAATTAAATTGAAACTTCAATATAATTATCAATAACAGTCAAGTCTGGAAGTGTGCCAGGTACGTAAAGTTGGTGATCAGCCTTTATGTGGTTGCTAGGAGCACAGTGAAAAGTATAAAGCTTAGAGGAAGGAATGTCTAATGTAATAAAGTAACAGAAGGTAGCATAAATCATTGTGAGAGCAGTTCATATTGACATTATTTTACTTAAATTGGGTTGAAACTAGACATTTAGTCTTACAAGAGGAGCAAATCCATGTTTCTTCTGAAAAAAAAAAAGTCTGTGCTTTCTGGGAGGAAATGAAGACTGTGCGTTTCTAACACGAGCCTAATACATATTTGGAATCTTTTAAGCAAAAATCTTTAAATGTTTGTTTCTGTTGGCATCCAAACGCATTTGCACTAATACGATTAAAAGAACTAAAGGGCAAAATACTTGGCAGATTTTGCAGTTGAGGTAATTAGGTACAGGAAGGAACATGCATAGTTTTTCCATCAAGCTCTATAAAATCCTGGTGTGAAGGTCTTTTTAAAGAAGAAAATGCTTACTGATGTTGGGAGTAGATTAGCAATAACATTGTAGTCTGATGTTTCTGAAACAAGCAAACAAAAAGCGAGTTACGGTTTGGTATTTCTCTGTTCTTTCTGTAAATAGGTCTGGCTCTCGAAGGCTTTGTTAGGAATTCGTGTTGGTAGCAGGCTTGCTTTTTTCTTTCCTTTTTTTAGCTTTTAATTGTCTTGCGTTGCATATTTAAAAAAAAAAAAAAAAGGTGGTTGTGCTGATTTGAAAAGTCAGTTCTTGCATAGATGCATTGTGTTTGGCATTTCATGCATGTCTTCCGTACAAAGACAACTTGAAGAACATGTAATCCAACGTAAATGCCAGCCCCTGCCAAATCCCGGCTGCCCGTGCCCCCGCAGAGGGAGCCGCGGGCGCGACCCGCCGGCTGATGCCACCTTCTCCCTGCGGCCCTGGAACGTAGAAATCAATGGAAAATGGGCGTAGAAGGGGGTTATTAAAGCATGCGGTTACGGTGTAGGCGTGGGGGTCGAGTAGTTTTGGTCGAACCTCCCGAGCAGCGAACCGTAGGCCTTGCCTTTTGCCAGGCACGCTCCCGTGAAGCTCAAGCCAGATTCAGAAACTTAGCCTCTTGGTTTATTAAGACCTTAATTAGAAGTTGCATTGTTTTTCTTTCCCCCTTGATATCGCGATGGAAGGTGGTGGATGTTTCGATCTCTCCTCGCAGCAGTCGGCGCTGGCTGATGGTGTTTCCCGAGAGAGTCGGCAGCGTGCACGGAAGTCACCGTTAAATAACGGCGTGCGCTGGATGCTGCTGGAAGAAAAACGCTGCTGCTTTGGGCTTGTGTTTTATTCGGGATCGGGCCCCTTTGATTTTTCTTTCCTCGTGCAGGCGCGGCCGAGGGGAGGAAATCTTTGTTGCAGGAGCGCGCGCGCTGTTTGCCTTTCGCTAAACCGGTCTGCGGCGTATCCGCTCTTCAGCCGTCCCTGGATTTCTGTCCCGGACCGGGGAGGGGGGTAAGGAAGGGAGAAGAGGCTCCGTGAAGCGCTCGTCGGGGCTGCGCGAGCACACGTAAAAGTGACCCTGTAAAAAAAATGTAAAAAAAAAAAAAATTGGTTTTAATTTCTGACACGGGTTTGAGTTAAGCTGTCGGGGGTGGAGAGCGGGTACGGCTCTGTGCGGTGACTTGCAGCGCGTTCGTCTGGAAACTGGTGGTGCACTGCAAAGGCACGTGGGGGGCACGTTTGTAGACACCCTGTTTAAAAGAGGAAAAAAAAAAAAGAAAAAAGAAGAAAAGGAAAGAGCTGACCACATCCTGGCAGGAGAGGAGCGCTGCCCGAGCCGCAGAGCCAGCCCCTCGCTACCTCCCCAAAGGTGTAAAGCAGGAGTAGCCGTCAGGCAGGCGAAGGCAAAGCTCCCGGAGGAGCTCAAGGGTGGCTCGGGTGCTCTTAGTTCCTGCCACGGTCTTCCTGGTCTGAGTTTTGGGTTTCCGAATAAAGAGGAAGACTGCCTTGTTGCCGGGAGCAGCTGTCACAATCACGTAGTTGTGTAGGCTTGTGAGATACTTCTTTGATTCGGAAAAAAAGAAAAAAAAAGCATGACCACATCCTTATTGACCAGGAGAGTTTTAAGAGTCACGAGGTCTGTTTTCTTAGAAGAGGAACGTAAATGCCGCTTACTGTGTATTGCAATGTGTGTTTTTGTAATGGGTATCGGCCCGTGTGTTTTTTAATGCACAGATGGTTTTGATGCCCCCACTTACTTCAGGGGGAGCGGGCAAAGTTCAGGATTTTTAGAAGTGATGGCCTTCACGAGTTGCACTGCTGAGAGCAGCCCTTCCCGCGTGGGTGCGCTGGGTTGATGGTTTCGCGGCATTGCTTTTGTCTGCGGAGGTGACGTTCCAGGTGGTGTATCTGCTGCCAGAGACTTCGTGAAGTTTAGCCTTTTCTGTGTCAACGTTTCCATTGCCTCACACGAATCCAGAAGAGTTGTGCCATCATAGGTAGTTGGGCGAGAACTGGCCTGACTGACACTGCTTTCGATATCCAAAGTGGTTTTGACTTTAAGGGTAAGAAAGACGATTTCGGTACGGGTGATGGGATTAAGTATCAGACCGTTTGTCCCCGACAGAAGAAATAGCTGAGATACCTGGTAATCGGAGTATGGCAGAAAACGTTAGCTGGAGCCCCTTGCTTTGCCCTCGTTGGCCTGCCTGGCGAGCTGTGTTCGCCCCCCGAGGGGACAGATGGCCGTGAAAAGAAGGGCGGTTAAGGACCGGCTGCATACCTGCAAATGAGTAATCTCTCTCTCACGTCTGCATCTCTGCTTCTGTGCTGTTCGGTTTCCTGCTGGTTATCGTGCGATGAAACTTGGTTGTGGCATTTCAAAATCTGCCGCCTTTATGCCTAGTGTCATCGAAACCCCAGAGCAACGGAAGGGACTCGGCTCTAGGGCGCTCTGTATTTTGAGCCTAGCTTGAGGCAGCAGGCGCTCTTTGGGAGCGCGCTCGCTCGTGGTGCGCTCTAGGTGTTGGTACTGCTGAGTCGTGCTGCGTTTCGGGGTGCTGGGAGGACGCCGGGGAGCCGCTGGGGAGGGTGGCATCGCCGCCCGGGCCAGGGCAGCCCCGCTCCCCGGCCAGGGGCCTTTCCATGGTTGCCAATATCAGATGGTTCAAAGGCAAAGTAGTCGCTCCTCGCGGAAGGCGTCGATTCAGTCCACCGGGCAACTTGCGCAGAGCGGTGCTTTCTTACTCCTGGGGGTAGAGTCCTTCAGCCTAAGGATGGGAGAACGGGGCAGAAAGCCAGAGAAGCAGCTGATTCCGTAGACTGTCATTTTATTTTTATTTTTGTTTTTTTACCTTCCTTTCAAAAACCACAGTGACATAAAAGG